GATGACGATCCAAATTCCACCAAAGAAAACAAAATAGAGTGTGAAAGTTAGAGCTGGCAAATAGCTCGAATTGGATGGGTTTGGATTGAATAATTTCAGATTTTAAATTTTTTGAATTGAGTTATTTCGAGTGTTAGGTTAAAATGGTAAACTTATGATCCACTCACATGGGTTTCAGATTGAATTGGTTAAATCAAACTTTTAAAAATTTAAAAACAAAAATCTTCTATATTTTCTCCTTTTTTTTTTAACAAAATCTAATATTAATTAACTATTTAATTAGAAAACTTTATTAAACATTAATTTTCATTTCATGATCCAATTTTCATTCCAATTTTTATTCCAATTTCAAGAAAAGAAAATGCAAAGATTACTAATTATATTGTTGGAACGAAAACATATGTTAAATATATAATGTTTATACAATATTTAGAATGTTAAATGCCAAATTTTGTCCCTCAACTTAAGGTTTTACACAATTTTCATCGTTCAACTTTGTTTTTTTTTTTTTTTTTTTTTTTTTTTTTTTTTTTTTAAGAGTTAGACTTGTGATGAATTTTATGTTTGGGCCCATAAATGTCTGGGCCTTAGGTATGAAAGTTCGTACCAGCCTTCCCAGCGTCCCGTTGGCTAAGAATTTGGTTTCTTGGCCTTGGGATCTGCGGTTCAAACGCTGGTGGGAGGGATGAGGATCCAAATTCCACCAAAGAAAACAAAATAGAGTGTGAAAGTTAGAGCTGGCAAATAGCTCGAATTGGATGGGTTTGGATTGAATAATTGCGGATTTTAAATTTTTTGGATTGAGTTATTTTGAGTGTTGGGTTAAAATGGTAAATTTATGATCTACTCACATGGGTATCAGATTGAATTGGTTGAATCAAACTTCTAAAAATTTAAAAACAAAAATCTTCTATATTTTCTCTATTTTTTTTTTAACAAAATCTAATACTAATTAACTATTTAGTTAGAAAACTTTATAAAACATTAATTTTCATTTCATGATCCAATTTTCATTCCAATTTTTATTCCAATTTTAAGAAAAGA